AATTTGATTCATGTTTTAAGCCAGATGCTATATGGCATTCACAATTTTTAAAGAGGCACCATTGATACACTTAGCAGTTGCTTAGCTTGGATACTGAATACCCATACGCAGGGTAGGGGAACAATATTGCATTCCAACTAATCAGTAATATTCAGCAATAATCAGTAGTGCCCCTAACACTGTGACATAAACCCCTGACCCTAGGTCCACACATTGCACAAATTTTAAAAAGGCACCCTTAAAATTGCCTATCAAAAAATAAATAAATGTTTTATAAATATAAAGGAGCAGATTTCAAACAATTAATTCATTTTCAGTATATACGTAGAGCCCCCCCCCCCTCTGACCCTGGGGCCTTGAATTCACAATTCTGTAAGATTAGGGCCCTTGCTCGTCATAACTATTTAGGTAGTTTATCTGCTTCATACCCAGAGACAGAGAAGAAAATTTCAAAGATTTAATGTATTTTCACTATAGAGCCCCGCCCTAACACCAGAGCCCCTGAACCTGGGGCCATAAAATTCATAATGTTAGAAGAGGCATTCTTGCTCATCATAACTTTGCACTTAGTTAGTTTATTTCATACCTAGGAGCAGAAAAGAAGATTTTCAAAGAATTCATGTATTTTCACTATATAATAAATAGAGCCCCCTCCCCCCAACACAAGAACCCTTGACCCTGGGGCCATAAAATTCACAATTTTGGTTGAGGCACTCTTGCTCATCATAACTTTGCACTTAGTTAGTTTATTTGATACCTAGGAGCAGAGAAGAAGATTTTCAAAGAATTCATGCAATTACACTATATAATCAATAGAGCCCCCCCCCCCCCCCCCCCACAAACACACAAGGACCTTGGGGCCATAAAATTCACAATTTTGGTTCAGGCACTCTTGCTCATCATAACTATGCACTTAGTTAGTTTATTTAATACCTAGGAGCAGAGAAGAAGATTTTCAAAGAATTCATGCATTTTCACTATATAATCAATAGAGCCCCCCCAACACCAGAACCCTTGACCCCGGGACCATAAAATTCACAATTTTGGTTCAGGCACTCTTGCTCATCATAACTATGCACTTAGTTAGTTTATTTGATACCTAGGAGCAGAGAAGAAGATTTTCAAAGAATTCATGCATTTTCACTATATAATCAATAGAGCCCCCCCCCCCCAACACCAGAACCCTTGACCCTGGGGCTATAAAATTCACAATTTGGGTAAAAGCACTCTTGCTCATCATAACTATGCACTTAGTTAGTTTATTTAATACAAAGGGGCAGAGAAGAAGATTTTCAAAGAAATCATGTATTTTCACTATATATAATCAATAGAGCCCCGCCCTAACACCAGAACCCCTGACCCTGGGGCCATAAAATTCACAATTTTCGTAGAGGCACTCTTGCTCATCATAACTATGTACTTAGTTGGTTTATTTAATACCCAGGAGCAGAGAAGAAGATTTTCAAAGAAATAATGCATTTTCACTATATATTTATTTAGCCCCGCCCTAGCACTAGAACCCCTGACCCCAGGGCCATGAATTTCACAGTTTTGGTAGAAGACTCAATGCTGATTACAATCATGCAAACAGTTTGACTGCTTGATGTCCAGGAGTAAAGAAGAAGATTTTTAAAGATTGCATTAATTTTAGTGGTTTTGGCCCCACCCCTCAGGCCCCAGGGGGGCAAGGATCATGAAATTCACAATTTTTGTTTCCCTTTACCCATAGATGCTGTATACTAAATTTGGTTGAAATTGGTTCAGTGGTTTCAGAGAAGAAGCTGAAAATGATCAAATGTTAACACACGACGGACGACGACGGACGAAAACGGATAGCAATATGTCACCTGAGTTTACTCAGGTGACCTAAAAAGCAATTATAGGATGAAATGTGACCAAATAATAGAAAAAAAGAGCCTTAAAACATATACCAAGAACAAAATATGATATTTTATTTTGGTTGGCAATGGTTGCCAATTCAAGGTTTTTATACCACAGAGAGCCTTCAAAGTAACACTCTGTATGTTTAAATCTGATCCTTTCTTTTAAAAAAGCACATTTCCTCATAACTAATGATCAATTTTTAATGATGTCTGTGTGCTCCAAATTTGAAAAAAATCAGATAAGATTCTTTAAATATAGCGTTGCTATGGAAGTAATCAGAAAATATATGCTTAAGGTCATTGGCAACGAAGGGTTTCCGGAGAAAAAAGGTTTATACCCAGGTTTCTTTACTTATGAAAAAAAGTCATTGAGAGTGATCTCCCGTATGGAATTCTCTAGGCGCTGAAAACAAAGAAAAACATATGTAACAGTCTGAGAGGTAAACAAAAACACGTGTGTTTTTTTATCGGATATATTCAACTCTACAGTAATAAAAGAAAAGCAGCGATGGGTTTGTTTACATTGTGTTGAGGGGGCAGACAGTTAACAGGTTGTCATTTAGAATAGGTAAATGATTGCTGGGAAGTGTAAAGGTATGAAATAATTATGCTGAAAGTGTTGATAGCTAGGTGGACCGAATGAGAACGATTCCATAGATTGTGTGAATGATGCACCATTAAAAAGTTACTATAAATCCTTGCAAAAATGTTTTTTGACAGTTCGTTTCCAATTAAGTGAATTATAGAATAGAAACAAACAACCACTCTCTTGATCATTAGGAATATTGTTTAGATGTTATTGCAGTAAAGGGAAGTAACTCAAAATTAAAGAAAAGTGCTGGTATTTCTGTGTTTTGTTTCAATATTCGCATTTTCAGCCAAATTATATGCATGTCATCGAAAATAAGGTTGCAACAATGTGTTTTATGTATAAACCTTATGAAATAAATGGGTTTTAGAGAAAACGTATGGTTAAAAATAATATAGGCCCATTTTATCAACATTTTACACAGGAAATGCATTGAAAATTGTCAAAACATTGATTTGACAAAATCATTAAAGGAAGGCTGGCTTGATGGGTAAAAAGGACCTGAATTGAACATGTTTGGTACCATTAAACCTGTTCAAAAAATCTTGAAAAATTCTATACGAAAACCAGAAACGTTGCCAATGTCCTTAAAAACCTGAAAAAATATTTTTTTTTCCTTGGATACGTACCCTTAAAAGTAGATTCGCAAATTTTTTTATGATTGATATTTATTAACAGCTAACTTGACTTTTAATTTTGACTATCATCCAATCTGTAAGTGGATGCAAGAAGTTGGCACACAGGGTTTAATATTGATATAAAGTTCACAAATGTGACCAGAAAATATATGCTTAAAAACCTGAAAAATATTTTCTTTCCTTGGATACGTACCCTTAAAAGTAGATTCGCAAAATTTTAATGATTGATATTTATTAACAGCTAACTTGACTTTAAATTTTGACTATCATCCAATCTGTAAGTGGATGCAAAAAGTTGGCACACAGGGTTTAATATTGATATTAAGTTCACAAAATCGAACATTTTCCCTTCTTGGTAACCATACCAACAGTGTTGTTTTCTTCATCAAATTTTATCAATATATGATATTCAACTTCAATTCTAACAGATAAGTACTATTCAAGCTGAGTCTTTTAATTTGTTTCTTGATTAAATGGCAATTTAATTCTTAATGCATCGAAAATAAATTCACTTTTAAGCACTGGTACATTGTTTCCATGGTAACACTGCAAAGTAGCAATTATACCCAATTTTTCTTATGGTCTTGGTGATGCAAGGTCCTAAGGATGCATATTTGCCTTGTCTTGAATTTTCATGTTTTTCTTCAAGACAGTAGCATTAACCCAATCTTAGTAACATGGTTTTGCATGGTTACACTGGCAACAATAAGTTATTTATAGAATAATATTGCTTATACTTATATACTTAAGGTCAAACATTTTCATTGCTATTCTTAAGTCGTTAATTGAGCTTGAGCATGAAACACATACCATTAGTGAATTCGGAGTGTTTTCAGCATATTTCAGCATTTTAAATGTATTCCAAATGTACACTTGGTTACCACTTACTTAGAGATATATTCCAAACAGTTTCTTTACAGTGTAAGTGACATCAAGGTGTCATGTTTTGTGAGAATGGTTTGTTTGCTTTTTCTAGTTTCTATTAAGCCACAATCAAGATTTAAAGTGGCTGAAAATCTCATCAAAATCGGTGACCATGCGTGGCAACGACGTTTAAGTGGTTACAGAGAATGACTATTTAAATTATTTAATGTTTATTTATTTAGAAAACGAATGTAAAAATTTCTTAGCATGTTTTTAAAACTTTACATATGAAAAAGTATTTCATATGATATTTATGTTGTTTTTTTTTCAAATTTGAAAATTATGCGAATTCTTTCTTTATACGATATTTACGCGATATGCTCTTTTTTAAAAACTCATATGAAAATCTTGTCAAAACCCCTTGAAGTTTTCAGACACATGTCATGCCTTAATTTTCGTCATTTTCTCATAAAAAGAAGATTTGGATGATGTTCTTGTGAAGTTTATAATTATGTAACTTTCATATAGGCTTATTTTGCCTTAGTCTAAACACCAAGAAGTAATATATTGTTTCAAAATTTCAAACTATAAGGCCTATTTATGAAGATTTTTCTTTAAGCAAAATTATTTAATGTTTTCATAATTTTCTTGAAGATTGTAAGAGTCGAATGTACGGGGCTCTCTGTAATTTGACTTGCGGCCATTGTCTAAATGATACACAGTGTCATCAAATAAATGGGTCTTGTGTACATGGCTGTGCTCCTGGATACGAGGGGCCATCTTGTTTCAAACGTAAGAATCATGAAATTTAACAAATCAGCATTTTTTTCTATTTTTTTTATTCTAAGCCAATAATATTGGTTTCATATTAATCCTACTATATTCATGTAACTTGTACTTGAATTATTTTCCAATAGGAAAAAATTATTTATACCATGCTATTAATTAAAAAATAAATGAGGACTTGCAAAAAGATAAACCAATGGAAGGAGTGTGAGTAGATACTAATCTGTTTATTTTTTTAAGCATGTGATGATGGAATATATGGTTCAAATTGTAACAAAACCTGTGGACACTGCCTTGACGGAACTTCCTGTCACCATGGTAACGGTCATTGTTTACAGGGGTGTTCACCAGGGTATGAGGGATCTTCATGTTACAGTGGTGAGTGATTGCTATCAATTATTTATTAGTCAACCTAAAATGTAGAATATCTATAGATCAGTTTATCTAAATTGATTTATCATGTTCTCTGTTATTTTGTACCATTACCCAATGGGGTAAGTATACATGTATTAGACAAATAAGCAACCAAAAAGGGAAATAAATATTCATAAGTGTTTAACGACTAAAAAATTAAATCCTTTTTTGTAATATTGCTGCAAACAGCAGGTATAAAATGTACTTCTTGAATTATCTCAAAGAGTTTGCCACTGTTTCAGTAATATACCAAATTAATGTGCTCATGTTTCCAGAGAGGTCCTTATTCATTACACATTTTTCATGATTTATCACATCCATATACTTAGTCCATTTCGAAACATTTTAAAAATTTAAACAATTAGGGCAGCATGAGTCCAAACCTTACATATATTATGAATTTAAGAATGTAAATTATATTGAAGAATGTGAAGGTAGAATGTATGGACTTGGCTGCAGTCAAAAGTGCCTTTGATTATGTGAATTGTGTTAGAAACTTAAAACTTAAAAAAAGTCGTCTGCTTTGTTGTTTAAAGAATGTGACGATGGAAAATATGGTGCAAACTGCAACGAAACCTGTGGACACTGTCTGAATGAATCACAATGTCACCATATAAACGGTTCCTGTTTACAGGGATGTTCACCTGGATATAAGGGAGAGCTCTGTAAAAGTATTAAGTCATCATCGCTTATCATTCTAAATTGACTTCAAATGTTTTACGAGGGTTGTCAAAGAAAACGCGAACATTAAAGCTGACATGAATTCTTAAAAACGCAACATTTTCATCTATGTACGACTTGTTTCATACCAACTATAGCCGTATTCCGCCATATTTCTTTCAGATACCTTGTCTCATTGTAACGATATATACCCCAAAGCGCTCGTTACAGTTGAATGATTTTAGCTCACCTGAGCCAAAGGCTCAAGTGAGCTTTTCTGATCACATTTTGTCCGTCGTCCGTCCGTCTGTCTGTCCGTCTGTAATCTTTTCACATTTTCGACTTCTTCTCAAGAACCACTGGGCCAATTTTAACCAAATTTGATACAAAGCATCCTTGGGATAAGGGGAATTTAAATTGTTAAAATAAAGGGCCAACTCCCCTCAAAAGGGGAGATAATCAAGAAAAGAGAAAAATAGGGTGAGGTCATTAAAAAAATCTTCTTCTCAAGAACCACTGGGCCACAAAAAGCTGAAACTTATATGGAAGCATCCTGGGGTTGTGTAGATTCTAAATTTTTCAAATCATGATCCTCGGGGGAAGGGCGGGGCCACAATGGGGAATCAAAGTTTTACATAAAAATATATAGGAAAAATCTTTGAAAATCTTCTCAAGAACCAATGGGCTAGAAAAGCTGAAACTTATGTGGAAGCATCCTGGGGTAGTGTAGATTCTAAATTGTTCAAATCATGACCCCCGGGGGAAGGGCGGGGTCACAATGGGGAATCAAAGTTTTACATAGAAATATATAGGAAAAATCTTTGAAAATCTTCTTCTCAAGAACCACTGGGCCAGAAAAGCAGAAACTTTTGTGGAAGCATCCTTGGGTAGTGTAGATTCTAAATTGTTCAGATCTTGACCACCGGGGGAAGGGCGGGGCCACAATGGGGAATCAAAGTTTTACATAGAAATATATAGGAAAAATCTTTGAAAATCTTCTTCTCAAGAACCAATGGGCCAGAAAAGCTGAAACTTATGTGGAAGCATCCTTGGATAGTGTAGATTCTAAATTGTTCAAATCATGACCCCGGGGGAAGGGTGGGGCTACAGTGGGGAATCAAAGTTTTACATAGAAATATATAGGAAAAATCGTCTTCTCAAGAACCACTTGGCCAGAAAAGCTGAAACTTATGTGCACATGGAAGGATCCTGGGGTAGTGTAGATTTCAAAATGTCTAAATTATGATCAGTGGGGTAGGGTGGGGATGCATTATGTATTAAAAGGAGGAAATCTGGTAAAGAACAGAATGGTCAAAGCTTCTCAGGTGAGCGATGTGGCCTATGGGCCTCTTGTTTGGTTTGGGCATCGACTTGTGCACATCTCCGATGGTAAAGCATATGAGAATACATGAGGAGATCAAGACATTTCAAAACCACAATAAACAACATAATAATCATATTTCTCAATAATTATTGATTTGAATCAAAAGAAAAATGCAAGTTTGGTGAGAAATTTAGATGCAAGTCACGCGTACGTATTTTTACAGTGCGCCAATTTATGCAGAATAAACTTGAAATAAAAAGCAGTAAAATCTGCAAACACATTTTGAAATTATATCATTTGAATGAAACAAAACAACCAACGTCTTTGATTTGCAGCCCCTATGCAATTGGTGCATATCGAGAAAACGCCCCGAACGCTGTAAACGTACTCATACCTGGTAATAAGGTTACTGCATCCGTTCGAAGATGTGCACAAGTCAAGTGATATACACCCTGATTTCCATTTATTGAAATATGCATCACAAAAAAAGAAATAAACTCGGTAAAAGCTCAAAAGTAAACACACTGTCATTACTCCGTACAGACTAGCAGGCCGATACACTTAGTATATTGTACGTGCTGATCAGATTTTGGTCAGGGAAAATATCACAAGTTGAAAGAGAAGTTATTTGGTATTGGCGCGGCTGAAGAGGGGGGGGGGGGTATTATAACTGCTGTTCATAAGCTATAATTGTTAATTGTCTATCTACATGTAGTTCTAATACACTGTATACATTCTATACAAAGTCAGGTATATAGTCTGCAGTTGGTTTGCGTCGCAAAATTATTCATTTTTCAATTATAACTGATTATTTTAGTACTAATCTCAAATCTAAATCAAGTAATTTGATGTACGGTAATTATTTACTTCAAATCTTAAAAGCAATAAACCAGAATACAATTTTTTTTATGTGTATATAGATCTATACGTTCTATACGTTCTTCAACACACAAACACACGAAGAAATGCCATCCCCTGTTCAGATTGACATCTAGGCATTTGATTTTTAGGCGGGGGGGGGGGGGGGGGGGCGTGCAAAAATAATTGACATGACCGTTATCTAAATATTCTTGGAAGACAAACATCTCTGCCGAATTCAATTTTGAAATTTTTTTTAAATGTGTCACTCCGACCACAAAGTATTTGCATTTTGAGGAATGTATAAATGTTTTATAATTATGTTGTTATAGAGAGTCGAACGAGATTTCAGTATCCCTGCCTGATAGTCTCGCTATTTTTTTTTTATATGAAAATAATTTCTGTAGGAGTATTTGGGAGATAATTTTAAAAGCTAGGGTAGGGATTTTTGACACTGGTTGAATACGGATAATTTTTATTTACTCTTTTTTATATCAAAAAGAAGTTAATTCCTTTAAGCCACCATTAAGCTGCAACTTACAGGTGCTTAATGTCCAAACTTCATTAAGCTACCATTAAGCCACCATTAAGCTGAGCTTAATGGTGACTTAATGGTCAACCCTCATTAAACTTTTACGCATCTTATATAGAATCTTTGAACTAACTTTTAGTTATTTTAATATCATTTACGCAAAATCTATTCCAACTCATAATTTTGTCTCGATCATAATTTCAACGAGTTTTTTGTTAACATGCATAAACTTAATCACTGAGAACAAAGTTAGCTAACAGCCACAGGGGCTTGCTCGAGGTGTCTTTTTTTTCTTAAAATCATTTACAGTGATAATAAAACAAGACATCCTGTATCAGAACCGTATATTATTTTTTTTTTATATAAATCATTATTACATGCGTTGTTTTTATTTTTAGTGTATATGGTTTTTAAAAATAAATAATTATTACACACCGTGTGCAAGTCCTTGTGAAATATCTTAAATTTACAATACCAAAAATCAATTTGTTATTAAAATTATCTATATTCATGAACACAAAATATATATTACTTTTTAAAAACAAAATGGTATTTTTATTTCATGTGTTAAAAGAAACATTCCGCTACAGAATTCACAGGAATATAACTATATAATCTCATGAAAAAAAATCTCTGTCCTTTTTTTTTTGGAGGGGGGGGGGGGGGCTACTGGTATACAAAAGATTGACTTTTACCATGAAAAACTTTTTAATGGCTTTTACATCATGAATAATTCTAATTAATTCGTTGTTTTTTTAATAATGCAGCGGTAAGTATCTGTCAAAATATAGTCGGTCTTCAATGATTGTTATTTCAAAATCGATTTTCAGAGGAACGGCCGATCAGACTAAACATGACATCCGACCAGATGTATACACATTGAGAAACGGGGTAAGATTAACAGATGATCAGTGTACAGTAAACCGACTGGTCAGACAATAGACCTTAATTCGGAGTCCCCCCGGGCCCGTCCCCGGTTAACTAACAGGAAACTATACATACACAACGTACACTGACAGATTTTAATGATCAATTATTTTTTAAAAAAAATAAATTTAACGCAAGCATATAACAAATTAAAAATTATGATTCATCGTAAAAAGTCAATTATTTTGATACCCATTATGATACAAAAAGAATTGAAACTGAATATGATATTCTAAAAAAAAGTTTTTGTAAACGTGATTAACCAGGTAACTCTTACGCGAGGATTGTCACTAAATTGTTGACATAGAAACCGTTAATATCCGCAGTATATTAAAAATAATAGTAGAATCTGTTTTTTCCTCTTTCTTTTTTCGATGATAGACTTTTGTGTTTTATTTATAATTAATTTATTTTCAATCATGATTTAATGCTTACATTTCGAAAATTTTCGAATAACAGAGCGAAGAACTCAATCACATTACATCAATCTAAAAGCCGAACTCAGTGTAGAAATATATATTAATGTGTTAAGATCCACAAATAAAATTGTTTATATTTTGATTAATAAATCAGTTCAAGACTTTTGGAAATGTTCAACAAAATACTAGAAAATACCTTTACAAGTCCAAACAAATTTTGAAAAAAATAAAGGTTAAATATTAA